ACAGTCGACATGTAAACCGACTGGACCCCCTGCTGACGTAAACATACAAACCCATGTCCCTCTGGTACGGAGGCGCTCACACATCGGTACATTTCACAACAACCTCATTGGCGTGTGTGTGTGTGTGAGAATACAGAGGCTTAGTGCCATGCACATTGAATGCACTCGAGCACATACATGTATTTGGCATGTGGTGGCAGCCAGTAAGTGCTGTAGGACAAGATGCGACAGAGGGAGAGCATGAGAGTCCAAGGCAGCTGCAGGACTGTGGCTGTATGCCCTGTGTGTATCCTCCCGAGGGCTGGCACTGACACCATGACGCCTGCTGTCCTGGCTGGAGTGGCCCAGGCCTGCCTGGTGACAGAAAGAGGAGGAGGGGCGTTCACGGTGCAGTCGAGTCGCCCAGTCGTCGGTTGATTGTTGTATCTCTCCAGTGTCCATCTGCTCCCGGGCCCCTCCTGCTCACATCTCTGAGGCCTCACTGTACAGCAGCTTCAGCAATTATTCAAACCCAGAAACTATTTTTCATCTCTGGCGAGGAGGTTATGTTTTCGCTCCAGGGCGAATCTTGTGTTTGTGATAAACCTCATTTGCTTTTACTTTTCAACAGGATGTGATAAATGGATCAGACACATTCAGGGGACTGATGTCTGTGAACGTGCAATTTGGTGCAGATCCAAACAAAATCTGGATCGAGCGGATTTGAATTTTGTTCCATGAGCGTGGAACTCGGCTGTATGGTAACAAATATGTCTAGAAACCTGTAACTAACTACCATCAATGTGTAGCTGAGATGATGTTGATTCATTAAGGAATCAACAGTTTACATTTATCCTTAAGTTTTAGAACTATGTCCAAATGATCATGATGGATTTGGTGTGGAGTTGAGATGTGCGCTCTACGTGCTGTAGATTTTATTTTAAATGGATAAAACCGTATTTTTGCCCATTGAACTGCTGAAATCCTCCATTTCCACAGGTATTCTGAGCCTTTTACTGTGGCTCCACAAATTGTGATCAGGTGCATCCTGTTTGCTTTAATTATCCCTGAGATGTGGCGGGACCCTGGAATCCACCTGTGGCAAATTAAATCGATTGGTCATAGTTTAGAGAGGCACGCGCTCCCGTCTACATCTGAGGTCCCACAATTCACACTGCACGTCAGGACAAAGAGCCAGTCATGAAATCCAAGGAACTCTCTGAAGACCTCAGCCAAATACAGAGGGGTCCTTGAAGAAAATCAGAGAGCGTGCAACCTGAGACTAGAGCGGCGGTTCTCCTTTCACCGCAACAATGTACTGAAGCACGCCGCTGAGCTTTGGGACAAATCTCTGACTGTCTCTGAGTGGCCCAGCCAGAGCTTTGACATGAACCCTGTAGGACATCTGCAGAGAGGCCTGAAGATGGCACAGATACCACCCATCCAGTCGGATGGAGAGGATCTGCCAGGAGAATCCAGATGTGCAAAGCTTGTGGAGACTCACTCCAGAAGGCTCACAGCTGTAATTGCTGCCAGAGCTGCTTCTACGAAGAACTTGAATTATGAGTCTGAATACATTTGTAAACTGGAATGGCAGCAGACTGCATTCCTCTGCCAAGCCTGAGAGTTCCCTGAGATTCACATGAATTATTTCCTTGGAAATTGGTGGAAATATCTCACAATGTTATAGAAGGAAAAGAAAATCGTGTGTCCTCCCCCTTTTTCCAGATCCATACCAAAATTGAATGGGTTCTTTCTTGGCCCGTGTCCCATCCTTCATCGATTGTTCAGTATTATTTGTGGAATTCTGCCGATGAAAGTCCGACCAACCAATAAAAAACAGACCGGAGCAAACAAGTCCTTGGCGAAGGAAAAAAAGAAGGAGCCTTCCTGAATAACTCCACCGTGGGCAGAAGCTGTGAGGATCAAGGTGAATTGAAAAGTGAATGGACTGAGGCCACTGCAGTTGTTCTGTAACCCTGAAACTTCTTCTCCTCACTTCTGCATTTAACCAGTTCCGTGTTGCACCAGCTCTTCATGAATCCATCCTGTGTGTGTGTGTGTGTGTGTGAGGAGCTTCCAGAGTTTGTAAGAACTAGTAGCTGGTTTCTAACAAATGATTGAGACACAAGAAGAGCGTGTAGTCAACTAAAGCTGTGTCTCAATTCAGGGGCGACACGGTTTATTTATACTCTGCTACAATGATTGGTGTTATTAGATCATGTGCTTGTTTTGTGTTTGAAGAAAGAGCTGCGTGTATCTAACCCCGCAACTTTATTTTATTGTAGTAGCTCATGTGAACTCTTATCGGCACTCAGGGCCAGAGAGAATTGAACACTGCATTGATATTCAAGGTTTTCAAATTTTACTTTATTTGTAAATGACATATAAATAAATATGGCCTTCTGTCCTGTGTTGGAATTTTCGAAGCACCCACATGTAGAGCAGTGAAGAATAATAATAGCAGCAGCAGCGGCAGCAATTCATGTAGATACAAAAGAGACAAAGTGCAGCTGTGGGAATTTAAAGTTTAGTAGCTGTCGTATTCTTGCAGCTTCAGCGTTGACCTTCAGAAAGGTCAAAACTGTTCTGCGGTAAAATGCAGAACAGTTTAGATCATGTGAAGAAGAAATGGTCTATATTTCATTTGTTGTTTTTATTCATTTATATTTGAGGGAATCTTTAAAGGGTTAAATGAATGAACGAGGACCATAACTAACTCAAGAGGGTAATACATGAAGATGCTCATAGACACCAATCGTCAGGCACATAGAACGTACATCTACACCGAGAACTGGCCAAAATGTCCTAGAAGCTTAAGCTGCTCCGTTGGGGAACATACTGTCGTCTCCATTCAGTCGATGAGGCTAACCTGTTTTTTTTTTTCCTTACCACATGGGGCGAAACTAGCAATGTTGTCAAGTCGTGTTTCTGTTCACCTGATGAATGAGAGTCTTAATAATCATAAATATTCCACCATCATCAAGCTTTGTTGTTTTGGTGAAAGGTTCACTGTGGGTTTAACAGAGTTCCTCCATTAAAATAAGTTTATGAGCCAGAAATCCCAAACTGTGAGCTCTACTACCCAAAACCCATGACGACAGGTTTGCCAACCTCTTCACCACGGTGGTCTGGAACAGTTCTTCACTGCCACCAATCCACCGTTTTCCAACTTCAGTGCAGAGTCACGGCCTGATGAAGCAAACAGAAACACATCATCTGCAAATATTAGGGAGGAAATTCTGAGTCCTCCAAACCAGACACATTCCTGCTGAGCTTTGGAATCCTGGTCGTAAAAAATCACACAAAAATCAACTGGTTTTGTGACGAGGGACAACCCTACAGGCCAGTACCCACTGGGAACACAATGTCCTGAACACTTTGGTTTTACAATCACTGGATGGCTCGTAGCAACGGTCCCTGTACCCTACACCCTCACATTAACCCCAACAAGACCCTGCAAGGCCCCACCCGGTCGTAGGCCTTCTGCCAAGTCCACAAAGCTCATGACCTGTTACGTAAAGAGTAAGAAGTTAGTTCACCGAACCACAACCAGTCGGGAACTCACATTGCCCCTTTCCAAAATCAGAGGATTGACAAAAAGCTCCAGCTCCACTACCACCTTCTGTAACCTAAGGTACAGTCATTTAAGGTATGTTGAGGAAATACATAGATAGCCTAGAATTAGGTCAATCCTCGATTTCCACCATTAAAACATCTCTTTGAATCAAATACGATCAACCGCTCTGTTAAGTGTGAAGGATTCTTGGCTGTAGCTCACACAAACAAACTCTGCACTCGGCAAAGAGGAAATGAGTCTTTGTTTGAATGGAAAACTGCAAAGGGGAGGGTGATAGGGAAGGGGGAAAGAAAAAGCGAGGGTGGTGAGTCGGGAGAAGAAACGGAAACGAGGGTAAATAGAAGAAGCGTGAGGAGAGAACCTGAGGACAAACCAGTACAAGACGCAGATCCCGTTCTCTACACGTTTCCTCGTGGCCTCGCAAGTGTCCGGAGCTCAAGTGTGTGGATGGGTTTAAAATGTTGCTCGCTGCTTTGCATGCTTCATTTGCATGTGTACACATTGTCAAGTGTAATTGTGTTGAAATTAGCCAGGCAGATATACAACACACACACACACACACACTGACACACACTTCACATTACAGGCTGTGGCAAGGGACAGAGCCTGGGAAGTGTGAACAGTAGAAGACCAGACAACATGACATGTGTTCGCCCGAGGAGCTGGCACCGTGATTGTGTGTGTTTCTACGTGTGTGTGCATATGTTTGTGTGCGTGAGTGCAGTGTGTACTGCGCCAACCCTGCTGTTTACCGTGGGGGATTTTTGAAGAACTCTAGGCAGCTGGCAAGCCCCCTCAGTTTTTCTTTTTTGTTGTTTTTAAATCTGCTAGTGGCTGTGTGTGGTAGTGGTCCGTCTGTCCGTCTGTCCCGTTCACTCGCTGGTTTTATGTTCCACAAACACAACAGTTTAACAAAATAGGCAATTTCCTACGTGAAAAGAAGCAATAATTTCCCTCTATCACCTGGGACGCAGGCTCTCGAAAGACATAATCAGAATTTAAAGCCGAACAAGAAAATATTTTGGGGGGGGTCGGAAAATATCAGCACGAATCACAAACACCCAGCAGGGAGAAGAGAAGGACCCGCTCTGTTTGCATTTGTTTGGAACTTAAATTCTCGTTTTGGCGTCTGTACCATAAACTATATAAAGTTAAAACATCCCGGATACGGACGCTGCCATCTTGATGAAGAGTCAGGGCATGAAGCCATTGTATCGAGGTTCCGCTGAGGTCTCATCTGTCAATCGTGGTGTGTTTTTATAGCATCAAATAACGGATTAAAACCAAACTTACCTGGAAAAAAAACTGATTTAAAGCGTTTGTTGTGTTTCAGTCACGAATGTACGTACGACAACATGTTAAAGTAAAAAAACAAAACAAAAAAAAAAGGGTTTGAACTTCAGCAAACAATAAAATATTTCTCTCTTCTTTTCATTCCAGGGTTCCGGCTGCCCGGCGTTGGACAGAGCATCAACCTGTGGAGTTTTCTACAGTCGGACATCGGCCACTTTGGGATCAGGCAATTTCCCGTCGCTCACAGCTGGCTGTTCCTGCTGGGGGGTTAACGACTGCCATTAGTGTTTCTCTTAGTTTGACTTAACGTTGCCTACTTAGCATTAAACCATCGGCATTATTGCTGAGCACACGAATTGGCTCGTTAACGTTAGCCGGCATCATGGAGCGCAGTAGCTGGAGCGGCAGCGAGAGTCCTGGGGAGGACATGGACAGACTTAGTGACTCAGGAGGGGACAAGACCATGGACGGGGACCCCGAGGGGGTCTGGAGCCCCGACATCGAGCAGAGCTTTCAGGAGGCCCTGGCCATCTACCCGCCCTGTGGAAGGAGGAAGATTATACTGTCGGACGAGGGGAAGATGTACGGTGAGTAACTGGGACAGGAAAGAAGACGTTTTCAGTTTGGTAGTTCTGCTGAACCTACTTAACCCTTATTCTCGTTCAGACCCATAATTCAGTTCTTCAATGGCTCTTTGGCATCAGTGGCGGCTTTGAGTCTTCTTGAGTGAGTCTCCACAAGTTTTGAACGCCTGCATCTGGGCAGTTAATCCTGGCAGATCCTCTCTATCTCAATCAGATTGAAGTGGAAGTGTCTGTGGACGTCCCTCTGCAGGGACAAGGTTTTTCAGAGGCTCCTCTGGGGAATGCTCTCCAGTGCTGTCCTGGATAAATGCTTTGTGTCATTGTTGGGCTGTCTCTGCTGCTGCGAAGCCCCCTGATATCATGATGCTGCCACCACCGCAGTCATGGTTCTATCACGGTGAATATCAGGCCACCAGACAGCGTTTCTACAAAAAGAGACCGGTCATCAGAATCAGGCTGCTTCCGTCCACTCTACCGTAAAGACCTGATCGATGCAGAGCTGCTTAGCTAATCGTTCTCCAATCCTGCAGAGGACATCTGAAGCTCCGTCAGAGTGACCGATGGATTCTAGGTCACCTCGCTGACCTTCGCCCTTCTCACAGAGTCACCGAGAGTTTTTTAAACTTGGGTAAAGCTGCTAAAAAGGCGATTGTCACTAGAGGAGTTTGTCTTTCTCTTTTTCATCTCACCTGTCTCGCCAAATTCGGTTGTTCGCCCGTTTCATGCTTCCATCTCTGCCGATCAGTACATTTAGTGATGAACCGTGTGTAAAGAGTGCGTATGGTTTTCATGCATGGGTCTGACAGTGTGGATTCTGAAGAGAAGCGGCGCCGGCGGTTCGTTGCCACGGTGGTCATGGAAGTCATCAAGAGGAGTAAACCGAAGGACACCAGCGACCAGGAGTTGGTCGGCTTCAACGTCTTCTCTGGTGTCACAGGGTTATTATTATTGCTCCAAAACCAACACCCCTATTTTGTTCAATTGAAAGCGTTTTCTCCGGGAGCTCCAGTTTTGTCCTTCTGATTTTAATGTGAGTCCGTTTGTTAAACTGTTGATATGTTTTGTTGAGTTGAGAAGAAGTTACAAGTATTTCTCAGAGCATCGAAAACAGATGGAGAACAACGTATGTGGGGGGGGCCCGTGCCTGTGTTCGCCTTGGGCCCTCAAATTGCTAAATCCGCCACTGTGTTAGTGTGTGTGTGTGTGTGTGTGTGTGTGTGTGTGTGTGTGTGTGTGTGTGTGTGTGTGAACTAATAAAGTGATGAACAGATGGTCCTCTGGCTGCCACCAGCTGTGCCTCCCTCCCTCTCTCACTGTTCTCTCTCTCTCTCCCTCTCTCACTATTGTTTCTCTCTCTCCCTCTCTCACTATTGTTTCTCTCTCTCCCTCCCCCTTTCTCTCCCTCTCTCTCTCTCTCTGAGTTCACTCCCATGATTACTTCACAGCTCTGACTTTTAGGTTTCATACTATCAAATCAGATCTCGACTCCTCTCTCCTCTCGTGCACTTGATGAAGTTGGATTTATGCTCAAACGCTTTTCTCGGTCAAAACGATTTTTAATCGTTGACACATCGACTGATATCGTAACGCACCAGTTGAAACGCTGACACACAGGCGTCCCCTCCCGTTGATCAACGGCTCTCATCCTGTCCTCTGCCTCTGTGGCATGTTCGCTGCCGCGTGTTTAGCGTGTTGACTCTGAGTCCGTGTTGTTGACATGTTTATCATCGGGGCCCTAATTACGTTAGGCTGTGTCTGTTTTCAGAGGCAGAGCAGAGATGGCGAGAGGGGATGGGCGTCGAGACCGAGGGGGTTTTAACCGCCACTCGTCTGTCCGAGCCCGAGTTATGAAACTGTGTCTGGTTTGTTTTTTCTGCTCATGTTGCTCACGAGTCTTTATTCGTGCATTCTGTTTCATTTGACTTTTCAGAAACAGGGATTTTTCATTTACTAAAAAAACACAATGATGTTTTTTTTTTTTTTGCCGGTACAAAAACATCCTGCGCCGTTTGCACGCAGCGCTGGTTTGTGTTATTTTCTATTCAGACCAAACCCCAGAGTCATTAAAGGTAGTTTCACGTTTCTCTTCTGCGTTACATTGAGGTAAAAAATTATTGTCAGGTGAGTTGTCAGACAGAAAAGAGCGAGGTGATATCTGATGGGTAGGGGACATACTTATGTATGTGGGTCTAAAAATACCCCCCGCTGGTTACAGGGGAAATGGACTGAAATATAAAAGAAGAAAAATGTTTGAAAGTGCCGAGATGAACTTAGCAGGAAAGAAGCGTAGAGAATTCATAAATGGATGCATATAAAAGGCCGAGAGAATGAAAAGGTGAATAATGGAGCTATTATCCTTGGCAAAGGTACAGAGGTAGAAAGTAATGGGCAGTGGCTTTGTCCCCTACAGACACATCGTATGGATCTACTGGACAAATATGAAAGTCTTTTAAATGGTATTGAACCTTCGCTGCCTCTTAAGATCAGGGACATGTTGAAAACAGACGTGAAGTCTGCAACGTCCTGTGTGTGTTAATGGAGGAATTGTGGCATTGACACAAAAGACAAGTGTCCCTCAGACATCTTCTATACGAGTCTTATTAAAGTGTTTCATTTAGTGTCGTCGGATTGTATGGAACACGGCCGCGTTAACATTGTATTTCCTCTAAGTGAAGGTGTTCCATCGCATTCTTCTAACGGCGTTTTTTAGAGTCAAATCAAGTTTTTGTTGATTAAGGTCATTCGGAAAAAACCAAGTGGTGTGTATTAAATAATGAAGAGAAGTAAAAGAAGAAACAAGAACACGGTAAAATAAAATAAGTGGCTGAGAAGAAAATAAAAACAATCAGAAGCCTCGTCTATGGGAACAAATACTGAACACATTCGCCGACAAATACTGAACTTGCACGAAGAAGATAAGTAAATAATAATAAAATTAGATAATAAACTTGCAGAGAGAGGAAACTTGTATCGCACAGTTGAGTTAAGTCACACCCGAGTATTGAAGTACAGAGCTACAGTGTTTGTGAGCTCGACTGTGAAGGTGACGTCACCACCTGTTCCACTCGGCCGCTCGAGATTCCCAGGGTTCAGTTATTCTTTAAAAAGAATCAATGACGGTAAACCAATGATTAACAGGGCGGTTATCAGGAGCCGCGGTGATCTCAGACCGTACCTGAAAGAAAAACAATGAGCCGAGATAAACAATTAAAGACCCAAACCGGCGCCCGCCGTTACCGAGGTCGGGCCCCGGGCCAGAGTTCGGCCCCTGTGGTCCTTCCAGGGAACTCAACAATGCTCGGTACTCCACTGCAGCCTTGTTAGCGAGCACAGTCAGCGAGGCTTTGACCTCACTCTGAAAGGGTTTCTGAGTTGTTCTTTAAAGCGGCTGAAGCTCTTAATCACCGGACTAACTGTGTGTGACGGGCGACGGTAAACTACTGCAGCTTCTTTTGGAGGACGGGGAGGAAAAAAAAAGAAAAACCGGTACAAAAGCGCTTATTCGCTAAGTGGTTATTTGTTCTCGTTGGTGTTCCAGTGCTCGCTCAATGACAAGTGACGAATTAGATGATAATTAGTTTCTAGTGTGGCGTCTACATGGACTCTGCCTCGAACACAATATTTAATTTCTCCTGCTTCATCTGAATTTCTGCATCTCGTCACCTCATTTGGAATTTATTTATAATTTATACACACACTCACTGCAAACTGAATCACCGATTCATTTTATCATAGTGTCACAATTATTATAGTTTCATGTGGATCGTGTTACATGTGACTGAATGGAGCAAATCAATGGAAATAAGTGTATTTGCAGTGCGTCGCCTTCTTCGATATCTGCAGCTACAGCCGGGAGATACAGAGAGAGAGAGAGAGGGAGGGAGAGGGAGGAGGCGGGGGGGTCGGTTCGTCACAGTTAATGACCATCTGACTTTGGCCTTGAAGACTTTCACTGGGCAAGTAGAGAAAGAGAGGAAAGAGAGAGAGGGAGGGAGAGGGAGGAGGCGGGGGGGTCGGTTCGTCACAGTTAATGACCATCTGACTTTGGCCTTGAAGACTTTCACTGGGCAAGTAGAGAAAGAGAGGAAAGAGAGAGAGGGAGGGAGAGAGAGGAGAAAAGGGAGGGAGCAGAAGGGAAGCCCATTCACTACAAGAGGGACAGAGGTGGGGAAAGAGGGAGCAGCCAGAACAGAGGATGGATGGAAGGGCGAGGGGAGGGAGGGTGTGTGTCTGTGTGTGTGTCTGTGTGTGTGTGTTAGTGTGTACTGGAGAGTTTTTGAGAAAGGGGGGGTGAGGGATGTGTGCCGCAGGGTTAGTGAAGGATGATAATTCACCGTTAAGCCTCCTAGAAAGACCAGCTGGCCCCTCTGGAGTCAGATGTCAGCCTCCGCAGCCAGGACCCACTCTGTGTGTTTGTGTGTGTGTGTGTGTGTGTGTGTGTGTGTGTGTGTTGGCACTCATGCATGTATATACTTGTGTGTGTGTTTGTGTGTGTGTGTGTGTGTTGCTGTCGTCAGTCGCAGCTTTTGATTGCTAGAAGGAAAACACCTGCATGAGGAGCTGTAGATTTTATCACTCTAAGCTCCCTATCTCAGTGAGAGTGGTCAGAGCACACACACACACACACTCACACACACACACACACACCATCTGCTGGTTAGTTAGGCCTATTGTTGTGAGCCATGTGGTTAGTGTGTGTAGAGGTTTGGCTTTGTGCTGATCTTGACCATCGGTCGGCCAGCTGGCCCGACTTTGGTTTTCCACTTGGTCGGAACAGAAAAGAGTCCGGGAGACGAAACCGAAGCAAACTGAGTAAAATAACTTCTCATTTCATTTCACGTAATTATTCAAAAACCATCTTTGAGCGTTCGAGACTCCGGAGTCCGGACCTGGTCGTACTTAAGAGGCCTCTGCAGAGCGGCGGCGCTGTTAATCTGTTAACTAATCTGTGTTTTGTGCAGCGTTGGATACAAACACGCAACTGAACAAAGCCTCTTCTCTGTAACAGGTTTTCTGGATGTAACACTGAGGTTTTCTGCTTCTTTTTCTCTCCGTCTTCCTCTCGCAGACTAATCTATACTAGCCAGGTCATGCTGAGTCTGCTGTGCTCCCTATTGAATGGGTTGAATTATTCAGCATTGTAAGTGTGTGTGTGTGTGTGTGTGTGTGTGTGTGTGTGTGTGTGCACTCACACACACACACACACACGTAAGTATGGGTACAGCTGGCCTGCTGGTTCCTTTAATCAGGGGACAGCCAGTCTGCATGAATGCCTGTATTGTTGGGTCATGTGTATTCAGGGCCGTGGCGTGTGTGATTTTTGTGTGTGTGTGTTTGTGTGTGAGCGAGTGTGTGTGAGTGTGCACGTGAGTATTGGGCTCAACAGGGGTATGGTCACAAGGTCGCTGGGTCAACGGCACTAAATCAGGCACTAAGTTGTTTGTCGGGGTCATATGATTCCTGCTTGTGATGGTTTGTGAGGAAGAAAGATCGTCCAAATGTGTGTGTGTGTGTGTGTGTGTTTGATAGAAAACAATGTGCAGAATGTTTTCATCAACACGTCCTGTGTGTTTTCTCCCTCAGGCCGAAACGAGCTGATAGCCAGATACATCAAACTCCGAACAGGCAAGACGCGGACGAGGAAACAGGTAATAACCAACGTGTGCTTTAAATCCAAAGAAACAACTTTAACGTCGAGCCGACCGATATGAAAACTTTTATTTTACCGAATAAACAACACAGAAAATTTGTGGATTTATATTTTTACTTGAGGTAAAAACCGTTCCTGACTGTCGGGCCTAACAATGTACATTATTTAGCATCATCGTCCTGCTGCTGAAAATACAACACAAGGTGTTTATTAATCTGCTTCTGGAAATCGCCCCCCAACAAATTGGCCGTTAGTGGAACTGGAAGGACGCAACCTCCGACAAGCTATCTCACCACGTTAAAGATATAATCCAGATCTGCACATTAATACAAATCAGCCTTAAAATCGATTCGGTAGTTTTATGACTAATCTGACTAAATATCTCTCTTGTTGTTCTTTCACTTCGTATAGAACAGAATATTATTATTACTAGAATATTTTCTATTTCCTTAAACCTCAGCTTCACAGACTGTGAACCTGAGATCAGATGTAAGCAGAGATATGGCTTCCATTATATTTAATGTTACTATGATCAAGATTTGATGAAATATTAAAGAGCAGGAGAAAATAAATACGTTGTAAATGATGTAACATCACATTTAGTTTCACCGTGTGTGTTGATCTTAATATCTCAGTTCTCGGCCTGTGTTCCCAGGTGTCTTCTCTCAAAAGATGAACAGAGATGGTTCTATTCACTGTTGTCAGGGGAGTGTGTGTGTGTGTGTGTGTSTGTGTGTGTGTGTGTGTGTGTGTGTGTGTGTGTGTGTGTGTGTGTGTGCCCTTCCAGTGTGGCAACAGTCTTTTCATAACCATGGCAACTCACTGTTTAGTCCTTCCTCCTCTCTCTACCCTCCAACTCCCCCTTCTCTTACCCTCTTTCTCTCATCTCATCTCATATCCTCCTTCCTCCCCCCTTCTTTCCTGTCTCCTTCCCTCTCCTCTCCTCTTTTTTTTTTTTTAACTGGCATCCTTCCTCTTCCTCTCCTCCAGGTATCCAGTCACATCCAGGTCCTGGCGAGAAGAAAATCCAGAGAGTTTCAGTCCAAACTAAAGGTAAGAGGTGTTTTAATCCGGATCATTTTTTATTTTCTGTTGGTTTTTACGTTTCCAGCGTTTAAGTAACAAACACATCTGAGCCGTGAGAATTAGCACTGATCATCACACGACTCTTTTCATGTGATTTGTTGATGAAAAGGAAAATATAGTCCTTAAACTAATAACCCACACAATAAGTAAATCATGGAAGGGAGCTCGGACGAGTCATCTCTCCGCCAACGCTCTCTCTCAAAGCGGAAAAACAATCCTAGATCTGCATGTTAATCCAAAATGTCATTAGATAAATAAATTCAATCAACCTGCACCGAATCACACACTCACAGAATTCAGTACCATAAATATTCCTGATCACATCAATGTCCATGAATTGTTTCCTGGAAAAAATGTTTGAAAGATCTCACATAGTTAGAGAAAGTGTAAAAACACGTGTGGGTCTGCATTAAAGTGTAAATGGCTGCTTCCCTGACTGGTCCACTCCCTCCAGCAGTTTTTAAAAAAGTTAAAAAAGGTTAGAAAAGAGTTTTAATGGATGGTCTCAGCATTATGTTTCGTTACACCATACACAGGTCTGTCACGTGCTGTCAAACCCACATGGTTCCTGGTGTTTAGTGTTAAAATCCGACATGATTCCCTCTGATCACGTGATCACGTCCCCGGGGAGCAGAGATTTCTCTCAGCCCTTAATTAACTTGAGTGAAGCAGCCAATTAGTGAATCTCCAGCAATTTCAGAGCCTGTAATTTCATTTCAATCAGCGGTTTGCTGCTTCACGTTTCTGACGAGTTCAGATGTTTGGCGAAACAACGTTACTGCTGAGTCACCGTTAACGGCCTATGAGACTGATCGGTGTTATTCATCTGAGATCAGTTCAAGTCATTGCACTCGACCGACACACAGAGAGAGAAAAGCATCTTCCTTCACGTTACCGACAGGAAGTTCAAAGTAAAACTCGGCGTTTCAAAACACGTGACACTACAACTGACAGAAAACTTGACTTTAGGGCTTTTAAAGGAAAGAGAGATTTGTTTTAAAAAGACAGAAAATACTCAAATCATTTAAAAAATATTAAGTCTTCTGCTCTGCTCATGTTTTTTTTTCCTTTTTTAATTGTTTGCTCAACTTTTTTTTTGCCTTGCAGTTACAGCCCCTCGCCAGTGGGGGGTGCTGCAGCCTCCCTCGCACCCTCCCCCACTTTCAGCATCCTCGTCTCGATCTCTAGTTTCAAGTCTTCTTCATCACATCTGTTGTTCATTCAGTGAATCAAGATCCATTTAGACCCGAAAAATATTTTCTGAAATTCCGTCCCGATTATTTTAAATCTGTCGAACGAGTTTCATCTTTTAAGATTCTGTCAAGTGTACAAACAAATCCTCTGATTTCTAAGTGCTGCTGTTTCTCCTCTGTGTTTGACAGTCTGTTAGAAAATGACTCGATGCCTCATGTCTCCCCGTGTCCTTCTGTAAGTAAAATACTGATGATGATGATGATGGTGTTTTGTGTCCACGTGCAGGACCAGGGCGCCAAGGAGAAAGCTCTGCAGAGCATCTCCTCCATGTCCTCGGCCCAGATCGTCTCCGCCACCGCCATACACAGCAAACTGCTGCCTGGAATAGTACGAGCCAGCTTCCCCGGCAGCGCACAGGTAGCAACAGCGCTGTTTGTGTATAATATATAAAATACATAATATACAATATTTAATATATAATATGTGCCATATAATATATAAGACAGGAAACACAAGGACATGATTAACAACAGTTTTTCCTGCAAACCTCTTCAAGGTAGGCCTTGGTTCAGTGTTTTCATTGTGTGTGTGTGTGTGTGTGTGTGTGTGTGTGTGTGTGTCTGTGTGTGTGTGTGTGTCTGTCTCCCCTTTACTAAGTGTGAAATGCCCGGGGGACAGTCCAGCTCCACCACAGAAGAGTGAG